TTTTGTCTAGCTTATATATATGTATATATATGATGATGTGTATGTGCGTTTATATAAAGTTTAAAATTTTTCTGTCTCATATAGGTCTACACAGCTCAATGGATGCTGATTAATTGCTATTTGCTTCCGCAACCCCTAATTATATGTTATTTTGTCAAGAGGCCTTTAATAATCCAATGAATACTGGCCGGTTATGATGCTAAACCTATAGGGACGGGTTTGGGTCGTGACAGGTTGAGAGGATGAAAAAGCTCTCGACCGTGCTATGAGTTCTGACGGAAGGGTTATTCGAGGCTTAACAAAGTTGTTAGCTGAGCAAGCCGTGTTGGGAAAACCGTGCGCGACAACCTGGTAGAGCCATTACAATCTTGAGGATATCTGAGGCTGACCGAGGTAGAATTAGCTTGGTAGTAGCATGCTACGTGGCCTAATTGGAGTACGAGGAAAGGATCATGTTGTTCGTACGAGTCCATATCGTTTGGTTGTTTTGTCAATGCTATTTGGCAGTACTGACACACACACATGTAAGACGAAGAGAGGATAACATATCTATGTGTCCAAGAAATGATGAGCAAGGTAGTGTAGTGCGCGCACAAGCTATATAAGCCTTGCGGTGCCTCCATGCGAAAAGTTTGAAACTTTTTTTACACAGAGCTACCTTCACTTTTGTCTTTTTCCTCTCTCTAAGGGTGTTAACTTGGTCGTCGGAGGGGATTTCTAGTAGCACACCCGCTTGGTAGCTCACAATCGTCGTGTTTTCAAGTTGAACGACATCATTCAAAGTAATGCGAGGCTTGGATGAAAGAAGTACAAAAACGAAGAATATTTGCTCCCGTACATATACACAAAGGGAAAAAATACGAAGAATTGTCCTTATCACCACATGTTTTGACTTACCAAGCAAAAGTGCCATTCGTGTGTCCTTATAACCAATAAAAATCAAAGTTGGACCTAATGTTTAACGCACCCATCAACTTAGATTTATGAACATTTTTTATTTTATTTTAATCCTAATCAAATTTTGATAACCCAAAAAAAATATGTAAGATATTTAATCAAATATTAATTCTAAATTGATAAAAATAAAATTAAAAATATTTCTAAATTTTGTGTGCATCACTCACTTTAGATTTGTTTGAAAATCAATCACTTAAGCCCAACTCTCTCTTACATCATTAAGGCTTTATTTGGAAACTAGATAAATTAACTAAAAAATAAAAAAATTAATACAAAAGTTGACCTTTTTTTTATAAAAAAAAGAAAATGTCTTTTCATGTCTTTTAATAAAATGTCAAAAAATTATTTAAAAAGTCAAATTTCAAACAATCTCTAAGAGTAAATTTAAGGCTAAGGGATCTTAAACATACTTTTTGGCTAGATTTTTTTGGGTGAATAGGACCTTAGGATTGGATTAATAATTCAATAAAGTACAAAATTCAATATTTAGCTAATAAAATTGGGGTTCAAACTATTGTAAACATAAATTTTAGAACATAAACCTTACACTTTGGATCATTTACCATGTGTATTATCAAGAAATCAAGACAAAATGACATACCTGAATCCATTGATGAACGGTTAAACGGAAGCGTGATTATCAATGAACTCTTTGTTATTGATTATGTTATTGCCTTCTAATCCTTTCCCCTTTGGTGCCTTATGTTTCTCCTTGAGAGGATTTAGAAAGAAAAATGGCAATGTTCTTATTTTTCCACTTGGGAAGGAATAGAGACCATAACCT